TGAGTTCATAAATGTTGCATTTATTTATTTATTTTATATAGTTGCAGACATTAGGTAGGCTATTTAATTGATCTGCAGTTATAATCAAATTATTTTCATAGAAAGGTCAGTAATTAACATTTATACACAAGTATTTATATTTATAAAGCCTCTGTTCTGTGAGAAGTGCTTCTAGTATGATAGGTCAACGACCCATACTGCTTTACTTTGACATTTCCTCGAGCAAGAATAACGTAGACTGAAACTGAAATGATGTCTGTCCTACACCATGCCCATCTTTGGTACACTTTTGGCAGTGGAAACGTCTGATAAAGAAAGAAAGAAAGAAAGAAAGAAAGAAAGATAGATGTGAATGCAGAAAGCTATGTGTCAAGGATGGGACAGGACTAGCATTAGCTTAGCACCAATACAATAAGCCACACATCTGTTGACCCACAGGTAGATGATCAGATTAACCTGTGTAATCTTCCTAACAGAAGTCATCAAAGGAGTGATGCATTGTTGCGTAATATAGTAGAGTTAATCATCTTAGTCCTTTCAATATGTCCGAATTGACTTTCTGATATCAAAATCCCCTTTTCAGGGACAACTGAACTGATTGTCGCAAATATAAAAAGAAAGATCTTTTTAGCAATGGATTTAACTGATTCACCTCTAACCCTTGTTACCAAATCACAGCAAGCTTCGGCAAATATGTTTCATCAAGCTATTAATTATGAACTGTACATTAGCGCACATGCTAACTGCATGGAATCACAGTGTTAGGCTGTCCACGGGCTTTTTTATCAGTACATGCAGTTCACATTTAGTCCGTGACATAAAGGGATGATGTATTTCCAACGACCATCTGCCAAAGCACAAGGTCATCACAGTCACCAAGGCGGGGGGATAAAAGCTGGGTCCTGTGAACCGTATATCAAGCTTTGGTTCCATATGGACACAGATTCCATCAGGGGATGTATTTAAACCATAGGTATTCAGCACCAACTAGGATTATGCTGGCTTACGGTTAATAACAAATGTGATGTGAGACCCCAATGGCCCCGTAGTACACTACCCTACACAAATCTCAGATCCACTTACAATGATATGGTTGTAATTCTACAGTCAGTATATATTCTTTTGTATAGTTCATGTCCGAAGCAACACTGTGATCAATATTCCAACATACTGATCTAAGCAGAAACCACAGTGTTCAATGGTCGATAGATACAGCTCAATCTGTACATCTCAGCAGGCCTATACAACCACAGGTCTCTGGGGTGCATTAATGTTGACAGTTGACAGAAACTAATCCCAGACCAGTGTTGTTCTACTCCATATGAACATTTGTTAGAGGCTGGACCTAAACAGGTGCTTGAAAGTCAAAGTTAAGCAATGTAATGCTTGTTACATAATGGCTAATGGCCTGTTCATCTGTCGTTGTCTGGCAATCCACTGGTTTCCACTTAGCAGGGGAGATGGACATGTGATGGGAACCACGGGGGATCTACACAGGGACAATGTGCTGTTTGTTCGTCAGGTTGCAAAGCCGTGAGAATTTTTTTTTATCTTTACCGCGACTGCTACGCGGTCCGAGTAATTGTCTTCATGTTTCAGCTTAACACCTTGTCTTACTTCAAGGCTGACTGAATGAACCAAAGAGAGGAGAAACACTCTCGTTTCATATTCACAGTGATATTTATATAACAGAAAAGTTATGTTCTTTGGTTTTTAATTATATTATTTTCATTCACAACTATAGCAGCCCAGCTGCGAGAGATATTAAAACCTATTGCCTTCCTGAGCACGGGCTGAGCCAAAGTGATGCAAATGCTAAAGGCAGAGTCCCAACGTCTGTGACTTTGTCTTTGGGTGATACTTTCAAGCTGGTCAGGGTAGGTGAAACCTGAGGATCTATTCAAGACCTTATAACAAGATCCTCAACTAAAACTAGCCTTGCCCTTTTTCAATGTCTGCACCTACAAACTCTGCCCCTTCCTAAAACACATAATAGACAGGACGACTCCGTCTCAAATTAGACTTGATTTCGGACTTGCTGCAGACTTGTAACAGACTACTCTTGTCACTATAAGAGACTCTTGTAGCCTCCTGCAGACTTCTGGAAGACGCTGTATGATTGCAGACTAACTAACACATCGCAATTAAGAAATTCTGCTTGTTTGAGTCTCCTGGACTGGGTTCTTATCATTCATCATTAATGTTTTCAACACTTATTACTATAACTTTTAAAACTACACAATTAAATGCTAGAAAGCTTGTCTTGGGTCACCAGGCTGTAAATATCTTACTATTCTTGAAAAGCAAACACTCAAGGACTACCATCATAGCAATCCACTTCTTCCACTCCAACAGCGAGATCTCTTTCGTCTTCAGAATGGCGAAAAAAGGCCATTTTAATGAATATTTTCACACAAAGCAATATCATTACATGTTTATTCTGGATCATGAGGGCAAGACCAGCCTCCTATTGGTCCTTTATCTCATGCAAAAGATGTCTTTTGTTGCCATATTTAGCTAATTCTACTTCCCTGCTGCTGTAGTGGCTCTGTTATCTGACGGCAGGCAGCTCTGTTGCTAGTGATTAATGAAGAGGAAAGTCTGCTGCCTGAGGCGAGATTTGATGAGATCCATCGAATCCCTTTGGGATTCTCCACATTACATCATTCCTTTAAATATGATTATAATATAGGTGTTCTGAGTAAAATTAAGAATTGTCTGCTTAACCATAATAAGCAGTAATAACTTTAAATGCATTTTAGTGACTTAGTATGTTAGCCTTGTGTTATGTCTTATTTATGTGCAGAGGCAACAATGAGTAAATAATGAGTGATTTAGAACGATTTTAGAGCCCTTGCTGTATTGGCCACCAGAGCTACTATTTAAGGCCTCCCTCACCACCCCCTTACCACCATAACCCCCCCAGCCAAACTCCACCCAACACTACCACCCCCTTCCTGGTGTTTACTTTTGTCTGCGACACCCTGTGATGCCAACTGCAACCCACCCCCACCCCGGCTCTTCACTTTTGTACTCAACCACTGCAACTACCCAATCCCCACTAACCACCCCTGTGTGTTCGCTTTAGTCCACAATCGTCCCCCTCTTTACTTTATACCCTGGAATGGAAATTGGAATTGCAATGGCCATCAAACATGATCAAATTGTGTCTGAAAGCACAAATTGTGAGCAGAAAACAAGTAAAATTAAAAACAGGAGGTGAATCCAAGATAAATCCAAGATGAATTTAGGATGTACGGCTGGAGAAAAAATACATGCATCATGATTTTTTTCTCTTAACGATTCTGGATCTATTCAAAAAAGTTTAGAATTGATTTAGTACCCAAATTAGGTCTCAAAAATTTCCCTTGTGCCAGTGGTTTTAGAATCAATAAGGGCGTACTCACACTAGGTACAGTTGCCTTGAACCATGCCGAAGCACGATTGTCCCCCTCCACTTTCCCCCGACGGCCCACACTCATACTGCATTTTGCCTTCCGAACCTGAGCACGCTTACTTCATCGATGATACAACTGTTCAGTTTAACAGGAAGAGAAGTGCTCTTGCTTAACACAGTAGAGATTCCTTTAGTTATATATATTTAGTCGTTTGGGATGCAGTGGCATGCAGTCAAATATTTTGCCGTACAGACCCACAACTTTTGACGCTCATAAATGATTATAAATGTCCTTGTGCTCTTTGTATTAGGAGGTTTGCTCATGGTGCAGCTGACATGCAGCGAGAGGTTTGTGTCTTTAATAAACTACAACAGTTTGCATTCAGTGAAAAGTAAGAATGTTTAATAAATCCAGATGAAACAGTCCCTTGAAAGTAACGTTGGGTCTTCAGTTTTGGGCTCAGGTGTGATTTGGACTCACACTACAAGCATACAGCACCCAAGCCTTACCAAACCGTGCTCTGGCACATCTCTTCCAACCGAGCCAGGGCCGTTCAACTGTGAACCAAACCTAGGCCCGAATCAGAACATTCACACTTGTCAAACAAACCGGGAAACACGCCTGGGCATGGTTCAGATAGCATAGTGTGAGTATACCCTAAAGGAGGCGAACAGAATGTTTCTGAATCGCTGGTTGTGAATGAAACCGGCCCACTGCACTGTGTGGCAAACTAATGAAGCATTACTACTGTATGTTTTTTTTTTGTTACCTTGTTTTTTTCCTATAATCTGAATACTAGTATCTTGCAAAATAAGCAGTAAAATACAGCAAAGAAAAAAAGAAATCAGTCAGTTGAAATTCATTATTAAAACTATTATGTTTAAAATGTGTTGAGAAAAATCTTCTAAATGAAATACACATCAAAACAAGATGATACTGAGATATGAGGAGGGACACCTCTGGTTTATCTGAAACAGAATTTGATAAACTTCAGCATGTGCTGAATTAAGTTCTGACCATCTAACTTTTGTACACGATTTCCTTTAGAAGATAATCTCCGACCCTTTATCTGACTTGTCTACATAAATATTACATATCTAATGTGAACTGACTGCCACCCCTGGGGACTCTATTTTCACTGAGATAGGCATCACATTTCTTAGAATTACAGTCATCCCGATCTCTCCTTTCATTTAAAGCTTATGGCAACAACAAAACTGTCTAAATCTGTTTTCAGAAAAAGGAGGTTTCAGATAGATGCCTGATAGGAAGTTTATGACCAAATTGTTTGTGATGACAAGACATGGGTTTTCGAGCGAGAGTTGCAGGTGTAAACAAGCACCAGATGCTGTGATTAGGAATCAAAGAAGACCGAATTACTGAAGTGGGAGGGACTGACAACTGATCAGATGTGAGGGAGACCAGATTGTGGAGAATACCCAGAATCCTCAGCCGTAGGGATAGTTGGCCTGAGCAGTTTCATCCCCTCAAACAGACGATAGGTACCGACTTTGATCTGGCAAGATCAAACAAACGGTGACACATAAGAAGGTCATCTGCAGGTGTTTTGGAGTGTGTGTGTGTTTGGAGCAGAGCACCCACCTTCTCCTGATACTGGCGCCGGGAAGAGTCCAATGACTGTATGAGGGCGGTGGCGTGACCGATGAACATGGCATAGCAGGTGGCTCCCACGATCATACTCAGCATGGTCAACCAGATATCAGACATACTCTCAGGTGCCTGGCGTCCGTACCCGATACACAGCATATGGCTCATGGCCTTGAACAGGGCAAAGGAGTACAGCTCACTCCACGAGTCGTTCTGCAGTTTGTGAGGTGAGAAAGTGATAAAGAGAAAAAGAAGGAGAGACTTTGATTACTTAATCAGCACTTGATACACTCCTGTGAGCATAACCTCCTCTGGCCACTAATCCTCTTGACAAAATCTTGGCTCAGAAGGGGGTATATGCCTATAAAACCATTGTTAAATGTATCTCGCAAAGTACTTTACATTGGATAGATACAGTATGTGTGCCTCGGACTTGTGGTAGATTCATTATTCCATTGCTTTATTTCTGTGATTTAAAGCCAGCTAATAGGGTTCATTGTTCAGCCAGACTTTTGTTATAATGTCTTTCTTCCCATCATAAGTATCTGCATAAGACCTCAGCTGCTATTCTTCTCTCTTCATAAGTGAATGATTTTTTCAGGATTGCCCTGATGGGTCTCTGTGAAATGTGTTTAAACTGATTTGCATTCACTTCGAGCAGGGTTTAGACAAGGTTATGAAAATCCTGAATCAAAGTCAAACAGGCCAACGGTGACTTTGAATGGCAAACCGGGTGTGGGGTTGGGGGGGACAGTGGATGTAAAAATAGAAAATGGAGGTGCGGGGTAATCAGCGGAATTACATTTTTGGAGATGAGTCGAGAAGCAGCTTATTTGGCTTGGGGTAAAGGAAGTCTCCATTGAAACAGGGAGGCACCTTAAGGCTGATTTATACTTTTGTATCGAGTGCACATGTATGGTCTGATGCTGACGCTAACATGCACCTCTCAAAAACGTTTACTACACGTTGCAATTATGCATAGCGCAAGCTCTGTGATTGGTCAGCTTAGTAGTGCTGACAAGTGTGGCAGGGACCGAGAGCCACGCGAGCCCGTTGGAGTTAGTGTTTACAAGCCCGTAAAGGAGCTCCAGATGGGAAGTTTTGTTTTGTGTTTACCTTATAAATAATCCCATACGGAATCTGCGCACGCAGAATTTCACAGATTTTTCGCAGAATTCCACAGATTTCCGCAGATTTTTAGCCCATCATTAATTCTGTTTATTTACTTGAGTAAATGTGTGTAAATCTGTATTTATTCAGTTTTTTTATTGATTAAAGTGATATTATCAACTAATATGAAAATTTTCATCAGACTTATGTACAATGCAGTTTGTACAGTCATATTTTCTGTCTTTTAGTAGAGATATTATATGAGAGACTTGCTTTGTTTACCAAATAAAGTGAATCTAATTGGATTAGCATTTTAAACATTAAATAAAAGTTAAAAAGGTATTACTTTTTATTTCATATATTAAGGTTTTAGTTATGATACTCCCAAAATCATTCCGCAGAAATCCGCAGATTTTTACCAAAATTCTCAGCAGAAATAGCCAAAAACGTCTGCTGATTCCATCTGGCCCTGCTTATAATTAAAGTTGTTGCACGTCCGCCAGTTCCTGCCTCAAAATGAGCAAGTTTGAGCCACTTTTACAGTAAAGTAGCATTCAGAAAAAAACAAAACATCCATGAAGAGACTAGACATTAAAACCTGCTGCCAGCAAGCATTTCAAAAGTGTTATTGCAGAGCAACACAAACAGAACATAGTAGTATAGATACATGGTTATGCACAAGGCATGTGGCATGGGTCACGCCGATCAGTTAACGCAGAAGTATAAATCAGCCTTTAGGGCCGATTTAAACTTCTGCGTTGAGAGCATGCTGAAGTTTTGGCGGTACTTTTGCACAGTCGCATACCTTTCGACATACCCTGATGTGCGTCTCTCAAAAAATAAGACATATGCCCTGTGATTGGCTGGGTTGGTACTGATAAATAGTGTGGTCGGTGCAGAGTGAGGCTAGTGGTAACAAGTGTCGGGTTTTACGGAGGAGCCCCAGATGGACACTTTTGTTTCTGTGTTTTTCTACATTAAGATTAAAAGTCTTAAATGTTCCCTGGTTAATACCTCTTTCTTCCTTTAATGAGTGTGATTTGTTAGCTATTTGTACAGTAGACTCGCACACATTTTTGGCATAAATCCAAAACACAGGCAAAGAAACTCGAAACAGTGGAACAATGAAACCTCAATGGCTACTAGTTTTTTAGAAGTGTTATTGCCAGAGCAGCACAAACTGAACACAGAAGTATAAATGTACCAAATGGTGTGGGCTACATGCAAGGCATGCTCCGTGTGATCACTTTATGCTGGAGTAGGAATCAGGTTTTACTGCTATTACTGTCACACAGGTTAGGTGCAAAGACAGGCTGCAATGTACATAGATAGAAAAAAAAGATTGTATTCACAGACCACATAGTCCTCAGGCACAAGCAATGTGTTACAGCAACCCCAACAATCCTGTCAAGCACAGATGCAAACAAGCCAGATAATACATTGTCTGCAGTCTAACCCTTTATTTGAGTAACTGCTAGGCTTGGCAGTGTAGAAAGCAAGAAGTGTGGGCAGTGTGTCAGAAAGATTTGCTTGCTTAGTTAATGTCTGCTTTCCATCTTCTTTACATGCCTCCTACCAAGGCTTCAGACATACCCTGAACAACAATTTTGGATCACCCCAGTAATCGCACAACAGCTAAACACTTTATAAACATAATAAATCGCTGACGTTCTATAAAATATATGAAAACCCCTTCTTACATATGCGTGGACAATGTATTTATCATTCCTTTTGTTTATACTCATTCTTAGCTGGATCCAAATCCCACCTTAAACTATGAGACTGACTTCTCTGGATTTTTATTGCTCCATGAGCACCAACAAGCTGTAAATACAAAGAGTGGCTTGGCAGAGGCATGCTTCAGAGAGAGGAGTATGCAAATGGATGCACTGAATTATCGCATAGCCTCGGAACATTTACCATTCGACACCCTAACACGTGCTCTACATTCTGTGGATCCACAGACATTCGCAAATTATTTCCCTTTTCCCTGGAAAAGAAAGAGGAAATTTGTAATGCTGTATAAGCTGTTTTAGCAGACATGCATCGTAGCGCTGCAAGCATGATTTTGAATGAGCTAAATGAAAGATTAGAGCACAGTAGGGGAAGATCCGGTTGAGCAATTGTGTTTTGGTTGCGTTTACTTAACAAGGCCATGTAGTACACATTTAACCTAGTGTTGCGCACCCCCACTGGCACTGAGACGAAGAGATTTACAAGCTAAGTTCATTTAGCCAAACCCAACTTGCAGGCTATGATTGTTTGTCATTCATAAGGGGCTTTTTTGTAGATTAAGTATGAACATAGGATTGTGTTAGATCTATGGTTTAAATTCTGCTAATTCTGAAATATTTACTACCTACTGTAGTTTGCTGAGGTATTACAATTGTGTACAGACTTTTAAAAAGTAATATTAATTACCAACAACGGAACAAGTTCATCCAAAAGATGGATCTTCTGTTATAATTTACTCACCCTTTACTGATTTGATTCATTTATTTTCGAACAAAAATATCATACATAAAATATCATTACCAAAAAATACATTTCAACATGGTCGAAAATGGAGTGGGATAAAGCACAAGCTTGTTATTTTCACACCCCATTACCACATACTTCATTTGTCTATTACTTAAACTTATTTCTTCTTTTACTTTTGTAGTTTTATCCTTTTGTCATCTTTTAAATATTATATGTTTGAATCCATTTGTACCTTTACATTTTGTAACATAGACCCAAAGAAAAAAAAAAAACATTATACTGCACATAGCCATTAATTAAAGTTTCATCATACCTTTCTCATTTGATCCTTTTTCAATCACCTTCATCATTATATTCTTTTAATAATATATATTTATACAACTTTTTAAACTGATTACTATCCTGACATTGTTGGAGAGTATGATGTAGACTGTTCCATAGTTTTACACCACAGACATACACAAACCTTTTAAAGTTGTCTTTGTTTTCAACCTCCTAAAATTTAGTTCTTCTCTCAGATTATATCCCCCTTATCTTTCTTCAAAAAACTTTTGTATACATTTTGGATGTAATTTATTCCTAGCTTTAAACATAAATTGTGCTGTTTAAAATTTAACCAAATCCTTGAACTTGAGTATCTTTAATTTAAAAAAATAAAGGATTTGTATGCTTCCAATACCCCACACCTATCAGTCTGATTACTATTTTTCTGCATTGTACTTACTGATCGTAAATTAGATTTGTATGTATTCCTCCAAATTTCAACACAATAACTCATATATGGCAACATAAGTGTGTTATATAATATATCCATTGCTTTATTTTCCAGGATAAATCTTGCTTTATACACTATTGCTACAGTTTTTACTAATTTTGATATCATATTATGTATTTGCAGTTTCAAATCAATTTTATGATCCAATACAACACCAAGAAACTTAATTGCATATACTCTTTCTATAACTTCATTGTCAATATGTAAATCAATATTATGAATACTTTTTAATTTCCCAAATAACAAAACCTTTATTTTACTTATATTTAATGACAATTTGTTTATGTCAAACCATAATTTCAACTGATTAATTTCTGTTTTAGTCAACTCCATAAGTTTTGGTAAATTATCCCCACAACAAAAATACTCGTATTATCTGCAAATACACTTAAACAATTCTGATATCTTACACATATCATTAATATAAATTATAAACAATATTGGACCTAAAACTGATCCTTGTGGTATGCCACAAAGCCTATTTGAGTAATTTTTTCTATGGAACTCAGTGGATGCCAACAATCAGCATTTTTCAAAATGTCTTCTTTTTGTGTTCAACAGACTAGGGAAATTGATAAAGGTTTAAAACCACATGAAGGAGAGTAAATGAGTTTAATTTTTGATTGAATTATTCATTTAAGACGCAAATAATTTGGTAACACTTAACAATAGGGTTCATTGGTTAATGCATTTACTAACATGAACCAGCCATGAACAACACTTGTACAGCATTTATGAATCATAATTGAACATTTACTAATGCATTATTAACATCCAAGTCCATGCTTGTTAACATTAGTTAATGCACCATGAGTTAATGAACTAACAAATAACTACTGTATTTTCA